CAAAGACAAAGAATAACTGAAATTAATAATACACTAAAAAGAATCAATGTAAACTAAATGGTACAGATAAATGATCAGTGACCTGGAAGACAGAGCAGTGGAAATCACTGATGCTGAAGAGAAAAAAAGAAAAAGAAATGAGGACTGTGTAAGAGAACTCTTGGTCAACATCAAATGCACTGATATTCACATTACAGGGGAGAAGAGAGAGAGAAAGGGGCTGAGAGCACATTTGAGACATTAATAGCTGAAAACTTCCCTAACCTGGGAAAGGAAACAGACATCCAAGTCCAAGAAGTACAGAGTCCCATATAGGATTAACCCAAAGAAGAACATACCAAAATACTGTAATTAGATGTTAAAGATCAGAGAATATTAAACCAGCAAAGGAAAAACAACAAATAACAGAACAGAACTCATAAAGGGCTATCAGTTGACTTTTCATCACAAACTATGTAGGCCAGAAGGGCAACATATTTAAAGTGATGAAAAGAAAGCCTACAACCAAGAATATCCTACCCAGCAAGGCTCTCATTCAGATTTTATGGAAAGATCAAAATCTTTTCAGATAAGCAAGAGCTAAAAGAGTTAGCACTACCAAACCAGTTTTACAAGAAATATTAAAGGAATTTCTCTTAGTAAAAAAGGCCACAACAAGAAAAATGAAAATTACAAAATGAAAAAGTTCATTGGTAAAAGCAAAGATTCAGTAAAGGTAGGAAATCACCCATGCACAAAGCTAGTAGGGAGGTTAAAAAACAAGAATATGGATGTATGGATGTGAGAGTTGGACCATAAAGAAGGCTGAGTGCTGAAGAATTGATGCTTTCATACTGTAGTGCTGGAGAAGACTCTTGAGATTCCTTGGATAGCAATGAGATTCAACCAGTCCATCCTAAAGGAAATCAGTCCTGGGTATTCATTGGAAGGACTGGTGCTGAAGCTGAAGCTCCGATACTTTGGCCACCTCATGCGTAGATCTGACTCACTGGAAAAGACAGTGGACAAGATGTCCAGTGGATGATGCTGGGACAGATTGAGGGCAAGAGGAGAAGGGGGCATAAGAGGATGAGATGGCTGGATAGCATCACCGACTCAATGGACATGAGTTTGAGCAAGTGCTGGGAGATGGTAAACAGGGAAGCCTGGTGTCCTGCAGTTCATAGGGTTGCAGACAGTTGGACAGAACTTAGAAAGAAACTGAACAACAAAAAGAAGTTATCAAAAACAGTAACTGTGAGGGGAGGAAAGTAAAGACACAGGATTCTTAAAATGCATTTGAAATTAAGAGGTCAAGAACTTAAAACAATCTTCTTAAATACAGACTGCTACATAAATACCTCATGGTAATTACAAGCCAAACATCTATAATAGATACACAAAAGAAAAGGAATCCAAACATTAAAGATAGTCATCAAATAACAAAAGAAGACAGGAACAACAACAAAAAACCTACAAAAACTACCCCAAAACAATTAACAAAATGGCAGTAAGAACATACATAGCAATAATTACTTCCCATGTAAATGGATTAAATGCTCCAAAAGACATCAAGTGGCTGAAGGCAAAATAAAAAAAAAGAATCCTGCCTATAGGAGACTCAGATTTAAAGGCATACATATATTGAAAGTGAAGGGATGCAAAACGTATTGAATGCAAATAGAGATAATAAGAAAGCCAGAGTAGCAATACTTACACCTGATAAAATAGATGTTAAAATAGAGATTGTCAGAGGAGACAAAGGACACTACATGATAGAGGCTACACAATGCGCTACTGAAAAAAAGCCAATGGATTACTGAGGAAGTCAAAGAGGAATTAAAAAAGGATACCCAGAGACAAATGAAAATGAAAAACAATGACCCAAAATCTATGCGACACAGCAAAAGCAGTTCTAAGAGGGAAGTTTGCGGTGATACAAGACCTCAGGAAATGAGGATAATCTCAAAGCACCTAATGCTACAGCTAAAGTAGAAAAAGAGCAAACAAAACCCAAAGTTAGTATAAGGAAACATATCATAAAGACTAGAGCATAAATAAAACAAACTTTAAAAAAAGGGACAAATCCCTAGAAATGTACAATCTGCCAAGACTGAACCAGGAAGAAATAGAAAATATGAATAGAACAGTTACCAGTAATGAAACTTAATCAACAACTTAGTAACTCCCAATAGAAGTCCAGGATCTGATGGCTTCACAAGTAAATTCAACAAAACATTTAGAGAAGAATTAACACCTATCTTTCTCAAACTATTCCCAAAAAATTGCAGAAGAAGGAATGCATCTGAACTCATTCTAGGAAGGTAGCATCACTGTGATACTAAAACCAAAGATACTACAGGAAAAAAGAAAAAGAAAATTATAGGCCAATATCACTAATAAAGACAGATGCAGAAATTCCTCAACAAAATACTAGTAAACTGAATTCAACAATACATTAAATGGGTCATAAAACATGACTAAGAGGAATTTATCCCAAAGATGCAAGGACTTTTCTATATTTGCAAACCGATCAGTATAACACTACATTAACAAACTGAAGAATAAAAACCGTATGATCACCTCAATAAATGCAGAAAAGCTTCTGACAATATTCAATATCCATTTATGATAAAAACTCCCCAGGTGTGTATAAAGGGAACATACCTCAACATAATAAAGGCCATATATGACAAACACACAGCTAACATCATACTCAAAGGTGAAAAGGTGAAAGTATTTCCTCTAAGATCAAGAACAAGATAAGGATGCCCACTCAAGGTACTTTTAATCAACACAGTATTGGATGTCCTAGTCACAGCAATTGGACAAGCAAAGTAAGATGGTTGGATAGTATCACCGATTCAATGGACATGAATTTGAGCAAACTCCGGGAAAGCATGAAGGACAGGGAAGCCTGGCCTGCTGCAGTCCATGAGGTCACAGAGTTGGACACAACTGAGCAACGGAACAACAGCAACAAACTGGAAAGGAAGAAGTAAAATGGTCACTGTTTGCAGATGACACAATACTATAACACAAAATATCCCAGACACCATCAGAATACTACTAGAGCTCATCAATGAATTTAGGAAAGTTGTAGGATACAAATTAGCATACAGAAATTGGTTCCGTCTCTATATACTAAAAATGAATAATCAGAAAGAGGAATTAAGTATATAATCCCATTTACCATTGCATCAAAATGATCAAAATACCTAGGTATAAACCTCCTTAGGGGTAATATACCTGTATTTGGAAAACCGTAAGGCAATGATGAAAGAAACTGAAGACAACACAAACAGATGGGAAAATATACCATATTCAGGGGCCAGAAGAATTAATACTGTTAAAATGATCATACTACCAAGGAAACCTACAGATTCAATGCAGTCTTTATCAAATACCAAGGGCATTTTTCACGTTTAATTTTAAAATTTATATGGGAACACAAAAGACCCTAAGCAGCTAAAATATCCTGAGAAAGAAGAACAGATCTAGACAAATCAAGCTCCCTGACTTGGAACTATACTACAAAGCTACAATAATCAAAACAGTATGGCACTGGCAGAAAACATCAATGGAACAGAATAGAGAGCCCAGAAATAAACCCACACATTTACAGTCAATTACTCTATGACAAAGGAGGCAAGAATATTAAATGGAGGGGGAAAAAATCTCTTCAATAACTGGTGCTGCAAAAACTGGACAGCTACATGTGAAAAAATGAAATTAGAACATTTTCTAATACTATATACACAAATTAATTCAAGATGGATTAAAGACATAAATATAAGACTGGAAACCATAAAACTCCTAGAGGAAAACATAGGCAGAACACTCTGACAGATATAGTAGCAATGTTGTTTTGAATCTGTCTCCTAAAACAAAGGAAATAAAAGCAAAAATAAACAAATGGGAACTAATTAAACTTAAAAACTTAGGTATAGCAAAGGAAACCATCAACAAAATGAAAAAAAGGCAACCTACTGAATGGGAGAAAATATTTGCAAATGATATGACCAACTTGTGGTCATATCCAACATATATAAATAACTCATACAACTCAACATCAAAAGAAAAAAACCTGATTAAAAACTGGGCAGAAAACCTGAACAGATATTTCTCCCAGAAAGAAAATGCAGATGACCAACAGGCTCATGAAAAGATCCTCAACATCACTAATCACCAGGGAAGTACAAATACAAACTACAATGAGATACCACGACACACAGGTCAGGATGGTTATCATCAAAAAGAACACAAGCAACAAATGAGATTGAGGAAGTGGAGAAACGGGGAATCCCCTGTTGAGGGGAAACGTAAACTGGTGTAGCCACTATGGAAAACAGTATGGAAGTATCTCAAAAAAGCTAAAAATATAATGACTCAGCAATTCCACCACTCTTGGATATATATATCTGAAAACAAAAACAACAACAAAAACACTAGTTCAAAAAAATATATGCATCCCAATGTTTATATCAGTATCATGTAATTGCCAAGATATGGAAGCAATTTAAGTGTCCATCAACAGATGAACGGATTAAGAGGATGTGGTGTATGTATGCAATGGAATACTACTCAGCCATAAAAAGAACAAAATTCTGCCATTTGCAAAACATGGATAGACTTGGAGGGTCATTATGCTGAATGAAATGAGTCAGAGAAAGATAAATATTTTGTATGATATCACTTTTACATGGAATCTAAAAAAATAGAACAAGCTAGTAAATCTAACTTAAAAGAATGAGACTCACAAATATAGAGAACAAACTAGTGGCTACCAGTAGGGAGGGGAAGGGAGGAAGGGCAAAACAGTGGTAAGGGATTAAGAGGTACAAACTATTGTGTGTAGAATAAATAAGCTACCAGCTACAATATATATATATATTGTATAACACAGGGAACATAGCCCTGTTTTAAAGGCATATAGCATTTAAAAACTGTGAATTTCTATATAATACTTATATAATATTGTACATCAATTATGTCAATAAAAATAAATAAATACTTTCTACTTAAAATAGCCCAAATTTAGCTTATATTGCTTGCCACCAAGAACTTTGGCATGTTTGATATTTGAGATTCTACTGGTGAATGAATGAACAAATGAAATGATACTACAGTTGTCTGCAGAATTAGGGGAATGGTCAGCAACACAGTGTATAGCTGGAGTCGGCTGGAATGCTGGGGGCCATATCATTGACTGTCACTGTTCACTGGCTTCCTTGGTTCTTAGTGTAGTCTTAGCTCATGGCTCCCTCATCACATTTCTTCTCCAGTAGCCGGCCAGACTGATGTGCTGCTCAGGGGTCCCATGGCTGTAGAAGCAGAAGCTACCACATCTTCTAACGTTCATGTATCAAAAACTGAGAAAAGAAGGTATATCAACTTGAAACAATACAGAGTAGATCTATATATATGTATTATTCTACATTGGTACTTTGTTCATTTAAAAATACTAAATTAAGCAAACTAATTTGATAAGTAGAGCCTATCTTTGACAACATTTTGTTATGATTCTCAGTATAAAGGAGTGAATAGTGTTAATGTTAATTACATCACAGACTAAGTTTTTTAACCCACCAAGTATATTTTGATCTTTCTTCTCAAAGGTCTTTTATAAAAAAACCAAAGTAGGACATCTATAGAAATTAGAAGAACATCGATATTCCTTTAATTAATAATTATAACAGGCATTAGGATGTGTTTTGTTCTATAATTCCTTGTAAAAGCATCTGTTCCTCCTATAAGAAGTAAAGTATGGTTGTTTTCCAATAAAGTGTAATAGAGAAGCTTCTTAAACAAAATATAATCTTTAATATAAGACTATCCACAAGCTCAGTAATATAAAATATTTTCAAATATCTCAGGTATATTCTAAGGACTGCACTTCATTATCTTTGTCACCCAATAAATCCAGACAATAAACATAATTATTTCTACATCCAATAATAAGCATTGATTCCCAGACCACAGGAGAAGAGAAAACTTCTCCAGGAAGTTCATACACACTTTGCAACTGTCCACTCTTAGATTCCAAGATCCACAGTTTCCCATCAGTAGATGCTGCTGCCAGTAACATTTCATTGGTATGGTTGTGGTTACGGAAAACAAAAGGCGTTGAATACACTCTTGAAGTAGTTTCAAATTTCCACTGGAGGTAACCTTTCATACTACAACAGTAGATAAAGCAGTCATGAGAACCAAAAAATATTTCTTGCTCTGATGCTGAGGTACATGGGGATGAAAAGATTGGTTCATTGGTAGAGAATTGCCAAACCTGAAGGGTGATAAAGGCAAAAATAATTCATTCATCTCATTTCAACAATTCTGTAGATTAAAGCTTTATGAAATCCTTAATAAAATGTGAGAGATGTAGGCTACTGAATGGTAAATATACACAGAGAAAATAATAGCTTTCTCTGAAAAGTAGCACCCTCAGATTAGACCTCTGTCCCAGTGATAAAATCTAACATAAAAAACACCAGTGCCCTTATTACATAAATCACCACTACGCATAATATAAATTCATTTCAAACCTCATCCAAAAATCATTACTAATATGTTCAGACAATGATTTCTAAGATAAAACTGCACTGAGTTTCCAGTGTATCTTATTAAAAGCTGTATCTTACTCTAGTCTCCCAATGTAGGAAGAAGGAGGTAAGTAAGCTGAGAGGAAAAGTTTATGTGCAGTAAGTTGAACTGAAGCTTTAAACAAAGAGCTATGAGTTGTGTGTCTACACTGTAGACAAGAAGTAAAGTATGGTTGTTTTCCAATAAAGTGTAATAGAGAAGCTTCTTAAACAAAATATAATCTTTAATATAAGACTATCCACAAGCTCAGTAATATAAAATATTTTCAAATATCTCAGGTATATTCTAAGGACTGCACTTCATTATCTTTGTCACCCAATAAATCCAGACAATAAACATAATTATTTCTACATCCAATAATAAGCATTGATTCCCAGACCACAGGAGAAGAGAAAACTTCTCCAGGAAGTTCATACACACTTTGCAACTGTCCACTCTTAGATTCCAAGATCCACAGTTTCCCATCAGTAGATGCTGCTGCCAGTAACATTTCATTGGTATGGTTGTGGTTACGGAAAACAAAAGGCGTTGAATACACTCTTGAAGTAGTTTCAAATTTCCACTGGAGGTGACCTTTCATACTACAACAGTAGATAAAGCAGTCATGAGAACCAAAAAATATTTCTTGCTCTGATGCTGAGGTACATGGGGATGAAAAGATTGGTTCATTGGTAGAGAATTGCCAAACCTGAAGGGTGATAAAGGCAAAAATAATTCATTCATCTCATTTCAACAATTCTGTAGATTAAAGCTTTATGAAATCCTTAATAAAATGTGAGAGATGTAGGCTACTGAATGGTAAATATACATAGAGAAAATAATAGCTTTCTCTGAAAAGTAGCACCCTCAGATTAGACCTCTGTCCCAGTGATAAAATCTAACATAAAAAACACCAGTGCCCTTATTACATAAATCACCACTACGCATAATATAAATTCATTTCAAACCTCATCCAAAAATCATTACTAATATGTTCAGACAATGATTTCTAAGATAAAACTGCACTGAGTTTCCAGTGTATCTTATTAAAAGCTGTATCTTACTCTAGTCTCCCAATGTAGGAAGAAGGAGGTAAGTAAGCTGAGAGGAAAAGTTTATGTGCAGTAAGTTGAACTGAAGCTTTAAACAAAGAGCTATGAGTTGTGTGTCTACACTGTAGACAAACACTATTTGCTTATTTCAAAGCTACTATAGATTACCCTGTCAGCCAATATTTTAAAACACACAGGAAGAAGAGGCGTAAGTCTAAGGTAATGTTCACAAATCCATAGCAGCAGCAAAATAAAAAGAGTGGGTATATTCATGATACATGGTGTGTAACCTCAATTTTCTTCCTGACTTGGACAAAATTACTTTAATCTTTCTTTGGCTCATTCAGAGAAGGAAAAAAAAATGAGTAAGAACCTTTGCCTCTTCTAACTATTTAGAAATCTAAAGGTGAGAATATATTCAAATTACTTTCTAAATAAAAAGTATTAAGTGAACTTAATAAAAGATTTCATCACAGGACTTCGCTGGGGGTACCGTGGATGAGATTCTGCTTGTCAGTGCAGGCGACATGGACTCGGATCCCCAATCTGGGCAGATTCCACGTCGTAGGCAGCTGAAGCCCATGCACCACAGCTACTGAGGCTGTTCTGTAAAGCCCTCAGGTCACAACTAGTGAGTCCCTGGGCTGCAGCCACGGAGGCCTGCGTGCCCTAGAGTCTGTGCTCCTGGAGAAGCCTGCAGCAAAGAGCAGTCCCGCTCACCACCATGAGGGAAAGCCTGAACACAGAAGGGAAGACCCAACACAACCAAAAGTTCAAAACAACTTTAAAAGTTAGAGAAAAGACTTGAAACTGCCAGTGTATGAGGGGCGAAAACAGAATGAAATGCACCCGGAGCAACCACAGCCATCAGTGGGCTGACTTACGCTGGAGCTGGTACACTCAAGTCCACAGAATAACCCCTCAAATCAAAAGCACAGAAGTTGTGCCACAGTCACTTGTGGGTGAAGAAGTAGAGGTTAGTATCCTAACGAAAGATCAGGAGCCTACCCTGCTGATCACGAGGCTGACGACGGAATCTCCATACAAAGTAAACTGGGTTCTGTAACAGATGCTGGTTTTCATAGAAAAAGCAGGGGTTTATATCAATTTTCACAACCTGAACAGAGGTTATAATTAAGTTGGCTAAAAACTGGTTAACATTTTTAACATTGGACAAGGAGGATGGCAAAATTAAAACAATGTTTTGATAGAATCTTTTAAATCTATTACAGCATCATTCAAAAATTTAAAAATCCACAGGCTAACAATTAAAACAGAACTAGCTTTCAACACAATGGGTCAAAAAATGTTGTATAAAATTTTACTTTAGTCGTCATTGACTACTATGCCTTTGAGAAAGATAGGTAAAACAGAACTAGACATTTTTTACCTGTTCTCCAAAGTGAGTAAAGCAGAGTAAATTTCCATCTACACAGCCAATAAAAATATACTGTAGGCAACACCGTGGAGAAGAAAAGAGTGGCTTTCCACAGGAATGTTTCCAAACTCTGTCCCCAGTGGCCTGGTATGGGCAAAACATGATTCATAGCATTTAAATCATTCTACTCATCAATTACTTTTATAAAACAAATCCATAAACCTCCCAGAGGTAACATCAGAAAATGCTACAGTAGCATGCTGACTATTATAAGTGAAGCTTATATATTTTAGCTTGATTACAAATGAAGCTAGTGTACATATACACAGCTATAAAATTAATGAGTGCTATTTATGAGAACTGAGATAAAAACCTGCAATAAAACCAGGAAAGAAATAACCAGCACATAAACTCTTTCCTTAGAATGGACACAAAGTTCTTGATAGAACTGAGAACATTCTGCCAATTTAAAAAATTGATAAAAGACATAACACAGAACTTAGATTTTTCTCAAGGCTCTAGACTTCATGTCAATCATTTTAGTGAATTCTGAACCAGTACTGTGTGGACTATATCTAGTTGAGGTCTACTTCGAATTTTCAGAATTCCAAGCAAAAGTAAAAAATATTAAAGAAAACCAGGTAATAAAATCAGTAAATATTATTGTATGCTTACAGGATTTATAGCCAGTAAAAATCCTCCCAGTGTAGCAAAATACAAGTGATATGGAATCAGGCTCAAACAAGGAGAAGAAAAAACAGTTCCTCCACATTTCAGCTTCCAAACACACTTCTTTTTCTGCAAATAAGAAAGTAAAATGTAAAAAAGAGCAAAAAAGAAAGCAAATTAATTGGTTTCTGAGGGTGATTCACAAAATCAATATATCCTGTCCTTTTAAAGTTATGTGTGTCTATCCAGTTAATATAATTTTTATTTTTAGTATAAAAGTAATACATATATACTGTGGAGAATCAAGTTAGTATAAAAAGAAGGCAAAAGGCAATACCCAGAGACTACTACTAACATTTTAGCATTTTTGCCTTGTGATCTTTTTGGCGCACACACACACATACAGTTTAACATACCTGAGATCATTCTGAATATCATACACTTTGTATATAATTTAGCTCACTTATTCTGTAAAACTTGTTAAATATTATACTAATGGATAATATCCCATATGAACATAAAATATTCTCTCTCTGCCCTATTTGTAACTAATTTCTTGGTAGTATAAACAACTTGGAAATAAGATATTCTGGTGCTTACATTTGTCCATGTTTCTGATTATTTTGCCACGATAGATTCCTAGAATTTTACTGAGTCAAAGGATATGAAATTGTTACCTATTCAAATTGTCAAACTGTCTTCCTCAAAAGCTTACCTCTCATCATTCTCATCAGCATTTAATGTTACCCTCTAAGCTAATTTGCTTCTCTATCATTAAAGGTTTAAATTTTCATTCCTTTGATTCTTAAACACACAAAATACTTATATACATTTACTAGTCATTTCTTCTTAAGGGTCCTGTCCCTTTATATGCTTTGTTGAATATTTTTCTATCTGGACCTTTATATTTTTCTTATAGATTTATATTTGCTTTTAATTTCATTTATACTTATGAGTTTTAACTATGTCATATTTGTTTCAAAATTTTTTCCCAACTTTTTAAATTTTATCATTCTTAAATTTTAAAATTTTATGTAATCAGGTTCTTATATAAGATATATTATTGATATTTTTGTGATTCTCTTCTTTCTATTGTTGACGGTAAATTCTAACTTCTTTATATTTCAAAACTCTGAGCAGCAAATCTGTGAAAATTTGGTAAGGAAGTTAAAAATATCTTAAGAGATTAAGGCTGTTAATTAACCCCTTAATCTTCCCAGATCACAAACTTGGAAAATAGTTAATACCTGTTCCCCTAGTCAACACCACCTGGTTAATTTCAAGCTCTTCTATTTATGCTTATGGTGTAAAGCTGACAAATTGAATTCTTACATATATATCCAAAGCATATGCATGCTGGTCATGAGATCCAATGTAAAGAAGTCCTGTGGTTGGATCCACGGTTGCTGAGCTTTTGACAGCATCCTCAGTAGNTATGGTGTAAAGCTGACAAATTGAATTCTTACATATATATCCAAAGC